AGCGGAAAACTTCTGACTCAGAATTATTTGAAATATTTGAATTATTTCACCTGTTATCATAAGAAACGTTTCAAACATTTTGAGTATAATTAAATAGGACTTCCGAAAATGATTCCTACTTGTATGGCTTTGCAAATTTCCACATTATACAGTGATCATTTCGAAGCAATTGTACCAAAAACATCGTAAAAATGTTCGATGTATACTCGCAAAAAGAAGCCACTTTTAGTAATTGATGCAAATGAGAATTGTAATTTAATAATAGTCATGGAAATTCATTGGACCGGTACGAATGTGATTTTAGCTCATGCTACAGAAATTTAATCACCGAATCCGGAAAAGACTCGTCACGCATACGCTGCAGTTTGCAGATGATTACTTTCCAATTAATGTTGTCAGAATATACACGAGTCAGACTTCGAATTGCAGTAAACATAATCATTTTTTTTACAAATTAGTTACATTATTATTCCACGTAAGTATACAAGAACCAGTTTCTCGTAGGCAGGAGTTGCAAGCGCCCTCCAGCAGTCAAGTGGCAATGCCGGAATATTACGTTTTATAATTGGATTAAGTGCTTCATAGGTACACTGTAAAACTCAAAACAGACCTGTTAGGGGCCGCGTCATTAAATTATTAATAACATTCCCCAACTCCATTCAGCAATGAAATAAAATTATAATAATTAATTAGTTAATTATCCTACACCCATCGTTTCATCAACGTTATTTCCAGACGTCCATTAACGAATCGAATTCAGCACGAAAAGCTATCGTAGTTTTCGTTCTGGTGTGACTAAGGACAGCATACGGGTCGATCGATTGTCCCTGATCAACTGCGCTAAACTTTTGCTTCTCAATACGGTTTCAGAGTTCCCTATATTAGGGGCTGCCCCGTGTATGAATCATTCAATAATAGAATTCCTATTGTTTCATACTTCCGTGAAACCTCGCGTGGGACCATGGAAGCATGCCATATTCGTTGTAACAACGCACGCGTTCAACTAAATCTAATCTCTCCATCTTCAAGAACAAAACCGAACATCTTCGCGACGAAACCGAACGAACATTACATCTCAGACTTTTAATGAAACCGTGAAACGCAATAAAGATCGGGCACAAACTCCAGCTCCTCTCTGGAAATCCTTTAACGATCGTTCAATAAGTAATTCTTCCCCAACGGTTTGGTTTTAATCATTTCAAGCCTAGCCCGATCCGTCGCTTCGGCGACTCCAGGATTTCCCCGCGGAATATTCAGTATTTCCACGCGGAATAACTTGTACAAACAAACGAAAAACGGTAAGTGATGAAACCCGGGGACCCCGGGGGTACCGGCAGACACGACGAAATTCGTCGGGGATCATGCGATTCGAGGAGTTTTTTGCTCCGTGGCCGGGTGTGCAACAGTCAGCAGTGCGACCCTATGTACGGAACAGGCGGGGGAGGATGGGAACGAGTTCGAAAGTATAATCAATAAGTTCGTTGGCCGATCTTCTTTTCTGGGGATAACTACCACTCTGCTTCCTGCTAGACGAGCAGTCTACCAGAAGTGACCCCGGTGCCAGGAATCTTCCGAACGGTCGATCAATAACCTGGACCCGGAGGAGAGAGAACATTGACAACGTTGTGGAAACTAGCTGATAACTAATAACTCCGGTTTAACGGGGTCGACGGAGGCAAATCGGCGTTGGGGTGGGAGATGGCGGCCGGACAACGGCGAAGAAAGCAAATTTAACCCTTAGCGCTGGCCGCGACCGTTGCCGGTCGAACGCTCGATTCCACTCGTACGATCTACTTTCGGTCACTGGAACTGAATGCGTATTGTGCCCATTTGTATTGTCCGTGATCGACCACCGTCGCGATAAAGAACGGCACATTGTTGTTTCTCCTTGTTTCCCTTTTTCACCCCTCTTTGGAACTCTTTCTTCCTTTTTTTCTGTTTTTAATTCTGCATATCCGGCGCCACTGCCGCCAGACAGAGGATTCATTCTTGTCGGTAATCGGAGCGTGTTTATTGAAAAATATTTCTTCTTAGAACGTAGAGCGTGGACGTTTCGATAACGTTAACCCTCTAAGGCTTTCAGAGGTGGAATTTCACGCGACGAGAAATTTCGTTGGAACAGTTTTGAGGAACTGAACGATCAGTGAGAGAGTTTTTGGACATTTATTCAAACTGCCAGCGGATATGTTGTGAAATATGTTTGTTCATTGTGTTTCACCGAGGAAGTAACGCTGGTAATATTGAAGCGTTCAATGATGTAACACGGTAAGGGATTTTTCTGCGCTTTGACTTTCAGATATTGGTATCGACATATTTAGGAGAATGTATTGAGAGGTAGATGAATCATGATTAATGCGTTAAGTTGGACGAAACGCGAAACCGGGTTGTTCGTTCACGGCAAACTTGCATTTTTAAAACGATCGTATCCGATGTACGTATATTACGGTCAGCATTACTATCATCCCCGGTATTGTACGATACGATATTGGTTCTGGATCAAGAAATACGGTTGAACCGTTCAGATAAACGCAAAGTGCAAAGCTTTATTTAAATCGAAGTATACAAGAATACGTCAAGCAAGATAAACTTATGAATTCCTTTCACCGGTATTGGCAAACGTACGCGTTATCTTTTTCTTCCCTCGGAGAAACTGTAAAAGGATATCTTCAATGGGATGAGAAGCATTCTTATTATTATCAAGATTTCCCATTAATTTTATTCATCTGGAAACCATACAAATCTACTAAAAAGACAAAAATTAGATTTTAAATCAGTTTCCATCCCTCC